AGGTTTTCATGATCAGTATGAGCTATTTTCCACCCAGGCCGTCCTGCAACCCAGAATGTTTCTTAAGCTAGGGTGCCCTATTCCATTTCTCCAACTCTTAGTGTAGTGATAGCCTGGGATAGTTCCTCCAGAGATATAATTCTATGACAAACTTACCTTTTAAACTCTTTCAAATAGAAAAAGATGTACTGTAGCTGTTGATAGAATTTTCTTTTCCATTGAGAAGAATTTTCCTGGCCAAGTATAGCTTTATTTAGGTTAGATAATGCATAAAGTCCTTGCATTAATTTGGCTGTCTTAGAGCCTTATTCAGACACCTGGATGAAAAGCCCCTCCTTCTCTGAGCCCGTTCTCCTTGAGACAATGGGGCTAGCTCTGACCTCCGCCAACAACGCATACTGGGAGGTGATGGTGAGAGAGGTGCTGGGGGAGTCTTGGGACCCCTGTTCACAGCAGAGCAGGATGACGTTCCTTGGGAGGAGGAGAGGGACATTGGTGTCTATTTCAGCTACCTGCAATCTACATTTTAATTCAGAAAGGAAGGTCACCCAGGGATGTTGTTCTTCCAGCATAGCCATGGTGATTTCTGCAGTCATCTTTCCTAGTTCAACTACCTGTACTGGAAACCACCTCCCAGCAGAAATGAGTATCTTCTATAAAAGGAGATGATAGCACTAAACTTTCCCTCAGGAAAATACTTTGACCTAGAATAAACCCTGTAGAGATGAGAAACATACCACTAAAATGAATATAGACTCCTACTCCCTCTGGCAGCCTTCATAGGATTAAATTCCAGATATGGGCAAATTCACTGGACTCACTGAAGTTTCTTCAGCTAACTCCAGGAGCATAGCTTTTACTTTAGAATCAGATGAATAAAAACGTTCTTGAGTTTCTATTGAGAATTAAATTCCCAGAAGGATAATAAGATATACTTATTTGTCTTCTCCTTAAGGGGTAGTGGGAAGTGCTCTGGATCTTCTCTCCTGAGGAAAACAAAGGTTTTCTGATTGTCCTCCCAGGAAAATGATGAGGATCAGGCAGGGCAGATGATGGCATCACACTATTTCTGCACAAGCTTTCACAGATCTCAAGGGTCATAAACACGAGGGAGGTATCACAAATTACAATATCCAAACTCTTAAAATTATTATAGTTTTATTACTTTATACTTTCCTACAATCTCCATGAAGGTACAAGAGAGGTCTTGACTTTCAGATAGTTGAGAGATGGTTTTCATGGAACCTGGTGTGAAGACTTTAAGAAGGAACAGATCTCTCAATGCCAAGGTTTATGTTCATTTTCAGTAGGAAGTGATAGATCCTAATGAAAATGGATTAAAATCGCCATAAGGATAAATTATTGAGCCCTTTATATGTTTCAAAAAATGTGATAAATGCTTTATATATTTTAATCTGATCATTATCCTCATTTTACAGATACGAAGACAGACATTTTGATATACTCTCTGCTATTAAACTTTAAGTGTGGTTGAGGGACTCTGAGAATTTCTGAGAAGCTCTCAAAGAGACAGTGGGATAAAACCTATTTTCACAATTCTATTTAGACAGTTTTAATATTTTTTTACCCTCATTCTCTCATGAGTGCACACTGAATTTTTTCAGAGGCTAGCTGATATGTGATATGGCAACAGAATAAATAAAATATAAAATTCAGCTTTCTATTTAGCTGAATATTTTAAGAATTACAAAAATGTGAAATAAGGTACTTTTAATAAAAGATTATTTATAAGAATATCTTATGAAGACTATCATATTTATATTAACCTATATTGCAAGCCATTTAAATTAATTAAAAATAAATATTTAATTTGTCAGTTTGGATTTCTATTATAATAACATCAACAAATATACTTACATAAATGAAATGTCAGATTCTCAGTAATTTTTAAGAATTTAAAGATGTTCTGAGACCAAAAAAATAGAGAATTATCTAGCTAAATGGTAGATCACCAATCTAGAAAGGACCAGAGCTGGAAGCAAATTATCTTTATTTAATAACAAAAGCGTATTCACCATTCACATTCTATTGCAGCTGCAACAAATTAACAAAAACTTAAAACAACACAAATCTATTATCTCACAGTTTCTGTTGGTCAGAAGCCCTGGTGGTCGGCTGGATTCTCTCTAAAACCAAGTCAAGGTGTTAGCTTGGTCTGCAATTCCCATCTGAGACTTGGGATCCTCTTTCAAGTTTAACGGTTGTTGGAAAAATTAGATTCCTTGTGATTGTAGGGCAGTCTCTGTCCATTTGTCCTTGCTATTTTCTGTCCTCTGGAATGGCCTCAGCTGCCTGCTGCCACTCTGGTGCCTACACATGGCCACTTCTGTGTTTAAATCAGCAGTGGTTTGCTGAGTGCTTCACACACATCAAATCTCTCTGACTTCCTCCTCTGTTACTAGGTGAAGAAAATGCCCAGCCTTTAGAAGACTCACCTGAGTGTTACCACGGTAATCTTCACATTTTAAGATCCATTGACCTGCAAAGCCCCTTCACAGCAGACCCTAGGTTAGTGTTTGGTTAAATAACGTAAGTGTAAGGGGGGCCATTTAGAGAATCCTGCCTATCCCATAAAGCCATTTCATCTTAACCACTGAGCAGTGTTTTCATTTTTTAGATCCTATGTTTTTTCCTTGAACAGACGCTGTTCTATCAATGCTGTCTTTATTATGGGCCTCAGCTCTTGCTTCAGATTGCCTGCCCAAATAACATGGACCCAAATCCAAATTCAGAAGGGAACAATTTCCATTTCTGTGTCTTACTCTAAGCGACATGATTAGAATAAAGTTTTATATGAGTTTATATACATACAATTGAGTTAACACTTTCTGATTGACACCTGGCACTTGGCCTAGGCCCCCTTACTGTAATAAGACTTTTCAGAGCATCTGTATTTAGAAAAGCATTTATATAACAGACACAGCAATCATGTCAGCATAAATATGCCTAACATTTGTGAGTCAGTGTGGAGTAGGGATAGACCTACAAAACAGCTAATCCACCCTATAAAGTCATGACATACACATACATTTTCATATTTTTAACTAATCTGATTACCTGCTCTCCCCTTTTATTTGTACCCCGTGACAACCTTGTGCAGAACAATTTAGTGTGGACATTAGCTGACAGTTAGTCGAATTAAGTTCTTCCACAAAGCCATCCTTTTCCATTGGTATCACATTTTCAGGAATTTTTAACACAATTTTGCAATGCATATTTCATCATCAGTTTCAATATTAACATATGAGTTACTTACATAAAATAGTTGACTGTTACTAACAATGCCAATGTTACACCATACAGCAATGTGATCATGGTGTAAGCAGTTTCATTCCAGAATAAATTGGTAAGAATTAGAGAAGTATTTGCTATTCCTTTCCAACAGATGTTATCTTTACAATTAGCCATGATTGGGTATTTCCGGGTTCCAAATCTGTTGGAGACAAATTCAGTCACCCTATCTAGGTTTAAAGGCTTTCCACTGAAACTGGTTTCTATTGTGTGCTGCCATACAGCAGGGCCCACCTCTGTCGTAGGGTGAGGGCATGGGGTTTTCAGAATAGTTTCCACAGCTCCTAAGTGTACTACAGGTTGTATCTCATTCAGGTCTATTCTTGGGGTGAAGGCAGTCATAGTCCATCAGTGAAAATTTTCAGTGCCTCTAGAGAACTTCCATAAGTTATGATGTCTACAAGGTTCCCTTCAGGGTTGCCCTTGTGCCTATTCAAATAAAATGGAAGGCTAACGCCCCATGGCTGCTTTTGCTTCTGTCTGCATCAAAACAGCCAATAGGGGCTGGGCTCAGGGCTCACACCTGTAATCTCTGCACTTCAGGAGCTGAGGCAGGTGGATTAGCTGAGTTCAGGAGTTCGAGATCAACATAGGCAACATGGCGAAGCCCCGTCTCTACTAAAATATAAAAATTAGCTGAGCATGGTGCGCACACACGTGCAATCCCAGGTACTCAGGAGGCTGAGTTAGGAGAATCAATTGAAACCGGGAGGCAGAGGTTGCACACGATTCATACATGTGTGCCATTGCACACATTCATACAAGGTTCACGCCATTGCATTCCAGGCTGGATAAGCGACAGAGCAAGACCCTGTCTCAATAAACAAGCAAGAAAACAAACAAAACCAGCCAAAAGGTCCTGTTGGGTCAGGGAACAAACCCCTCCTCTAACACTGAGTCCTGGCAGTTACCCTGCGTTATTTGCTGAGTCTGCATGACCCATACCACCAAAGCTTCATTCCTTTTTGAGGCTGAGTTCACTCCTTTGCCTTCCCCCTGAAGAGAATTCCCTCTTCTCAGTTTATTCTAGTTAACATTTCTCCCCCTCTGACTGTAACTACTCATTTGAAGTGAATTCAGCTTGTCCCAGGATGCCTAGGCAGGCACCAATTTCCCCTAAAAGCTTTTCTCATCTTGTGAGACAGTCACCATTTTTTTTGCTATTAAATCCAATGTCACAGAGCATTTTATCAGTGAAATATTTTGTTATAAGGGATGATAGACACTGAGAGGAAATCGTGTGCTGTTGTGTGAGAGCTAGAAATGGGCAAGTTGATTTTAGAATTGAGGAGCACCAAGAAAAAATGGAAACAATAACATTATTATATAACACGTTACATTTCAGGAATAAAAAAGAAATAAGACAGGTTAATACTTTCTGAGACTAGTGAAAGTAAGACAACTTGCGCCCTGGGTAATGTTCAGCTTTAGAAATCTCCTGCCCTGTTAGTCTACCTGATTCCCTTCTTGACATGGTCAAGATTTCTATAGTATAAGAACATGTCCCGAGGTTTCCGTATCTGTGATTTTTCCTTTTCTCTTCTCTATTAACAGCTATCAGCTTAGGGTTAAGAATTACATTTCTGGGTATTCCAGGCTAAGACGAGAGTGGCTCTCTGAATATATAATTAAAACTAGGACTTTTTCAATATCAAGATATAAAATGCTTTAGTAAAATGGTTGCTAAATGTAAAAGAAAACAACTAAAAATGTAAGATCTTGTTAACTCCACTCTTAAAAATTAATCTGTACAAGGTATCTCTGTGCTTGTTTTCATTGGACTGCTGTGCTCCAATTAGAATATTGAGTCGCAAACGTTTATCCTAAGGTCTTAGGCTCAAATAAGTGATGGAGTGTGAGGAGGCTGCTCTTGATTTCTGTGTGATGGAGAAACCACGAATATTTATAGTCCACTGGCTATTGAGTCAAGGCATATTTTAGAAAGTGTCCAAGGAGGAAAAGCCGCACTCTAGAGTAACTACAAAGTGGTGACAGGGATTTGACCATGACGCATGTCTACTCACATGCTCCCTGAGGCCCCACCTAGTGAGAATCCTTAAGTGGAATCAGCTGGAACTAGACTAGCTTTAAGATCTAGAACAAGGGTTCACAAACTACTGTCCCTGGGCACCATTCCAGCAGCCACCTGTTTTTATAAATAAAGTTTTATTGGAACACAGGCACACCCATTTGTTTACATGTTGTCTGTGGCTGCTTTTGCCAGTTATGACATAGAAGATGGCCCTGAAAGCCTTAAGCATTAACCTGTGTATCTTTACAGGAAGAGTCACTAACTATTGATCTTGAGGATGTGTACTACGCTTTTATTAACTCAATCTGACTTGGCTACTATTGGCACAAACTCTGCTATTACTGACCATTTCTAATATTAGAAGCAGATTTCTAATAACCTCAAAGATAAATAAGCCATTAAAATTTTAGACATTTTAGTGGGTATATAATAGTGTCTCACGGTGTTTTATTTTACATTTCCTTGCTTACTAATGGTGGAAGGCAGCATTTTGTATGTTTATCAGCCACTTGTATTTTCTGTTCATATGTTTTGCTAATTTTAGAAAATTTGTTGTTCATATTTTGATTGTTGATATAAAGGAGTTCTTTCTATTTACTGTGTAAACAGTTCCATTTCTGGGTACATGTAGTTTCCACAGGAGCACTTGGTTTGTAGTTTGCATATCTTCTTTCTTAATGGTGACTTTGATGTGCACAGTGATTAATGTTAAGAGGGCCTATATTTATCAAACTTAAAAATTTTACATCTAGGGCTTTTTGTGTCTTCTCTATGAATTTGTGCTAGGATTATAAAGGCATTCACCAAACTTTTCTAAAAGACTTATGTCTTCAATTTATATGTATAGGTCTATAGTATCCCATTTTAAACTGGCATTTTTTCTAGCAGAAGACAAAAAGAAAGCCAAGTTCCACATTTTACAGGGAGCACTGTTCCCTTCCCATGGTTCCTTTGAAATGTCTCACATAAGCCTGTCTTTTGTCAGTGCCCTTCTCAGGGCTCCCTTGACCTCCATGTTCCTCAGGCTGTAGATCAGGGGGTTCAGCATCGGGTTGAAAAGACTATAAAACAGGGAAAGAACCTTCTGCTGCTCCTCAGGATGACGGGATTTGGGGGCCATGTACATGACGATGGCGCTGCCAAAGAAGAGCCCCACCACGCAGAGGTGGGAGGAGCAGGTGGAGAAGGCCTTTCTGCGGCCCTCCCCAGATTGGATCCTCAGGATGGCCGCCAGGATGCGTGAGTAGGAGACCAGCACCAGGCAGAGCGGCCCCACCAGGATGAAAATACAGGCTGCAAAGATGACCACCTGGTTGAGTCTAGTGTCAGCACAGGCCAGCTTGAGAACAGACAGGATTTCACAGAAGAAGTGGTTGATCTCATGAGGCCCGCAGAAGGGCAGCCTCAGGATTAGAACCACATGGACCAGAGCCAGGAAAAAGCTGAACACCCAGGAAGCCATAGCCAAGACAGTGCACACTCTCCAGCTCATGAGGACATTGTAATGTAGGGGGCGGCAGATGGCCACATAGCGATCATAGGACATCACTACCAAAATCAGACACTCTATGTGAGCAAAAGCCAAATACAAGAATGTCTGCATTATGCATGACACAAAGGAGATGGCACTTTTCTTATTCACAAGATTCATCAGCATCTTGGGAACGTTGTTGGAAGCATAGGACATGTCAACAATGGCAAGATGTGAGAGGAAGAAGTACATGGGGGTGTGAAGCTTAGATTCCAGGCAGATAATCCCAAAGATGAGCCCATTCCCCAGCAGGGTGAGTGTGTACAAGACAGAGAAAAATCCACAGAGGAGAATCTCCAGTGCTGGACCAACCTGGAATCCCAGGAGGGTGACATCTGTGATCCATGTCTGGTTGCCTCCCATGCTCTTGTGGCAGAGAAAGACAAATCCTCATCTAGGACAGGAAGGTCAGAGCTGTGGGCCAGTCAGAAATGCTCAGAGGGGGCACTTAGAAATGCATTACTTTGAATGAATTTTCTAGAATTTATTCTCAGATACATTGCCAAAACTAATCAGGTGCACTCATAAAAATGTGAAAAAAATCACATTATATCAATGGAATATAAGAATATATATATATATGTATATGTGTGTATATATAGATGTGTGTGTTTGCATACGTATATATGACATTTAGTAAAATATAATAACATAACAGGATCTATTATAATATACCCTACATAAGAGGATACACATGCACACGTGTTATTTTGAAGAACTCAAGTATGCCAGCTTTCCTTTCAGTGTGAGATCTTGATTATTACGTAGTTTGAGAAGAGGGGACCATGACAGATGTTGCAATATGAGGCAGTTTCGCTTGCTAGTCCTGCTTGTCTTCTCAGTCTGAGATGTGCAGGGACCGGAACCCTCTGTTTGCTGTGAGCTTGCTCACTGTCCCTCACCTCACAGGCTTTTCTACCTTATTTATATAAAATCTTATTTCAGATTTGAAATCCCTTCCAAGTAACTTTCAATTTTGTAGCTTATTTAAAACAGTCTAAGGTAAGATACTTGTTTTCAGAAGCTGGTCAGTATTCCCCAGCAGCTCCTCTAGGTGCCTCTTTTCCATACCTGGTATTTGTCGTTTTATTTTAAGAGTTTTCCTTACTTCTCATCAGCATCTGTTATTGTAAATTACGCAGAAGTAAAAGAATTCTTGACTACATAAAATAAATATATATATTTAAAATAACTTTAATAATAATCATTTAAATTTATTATTTAAAATAAAATATATATATTTAAGATATATTTAAAGTATATATCTTTAAACTAACTAAGCATGGTGACATTTCTGAGGTCTTTTAAATAAGAAACTCTAAAGAAAAATCAATTTACATTAACAGTGGTTACATTTAAAGATGATTGCTGTATTGTAATTGTATTTTCTTGGGCTCTTGTCTCGATTATAACTTAATATGTTGACATCTCTCAAAGCTTATCTTACTTTCTAGTGTGACAGAGTCTTTTGTCATCAATATATTCCCAGCTATGGCAACTTGGGTTGCTGTCAGTTCCCCTAACTGCATTCTCCTCCATCACCTGTGACCATGCCAGCAGCCTGTTGCTGTTGAGATGGATACTGGGCAGGTGACAGGGATGGGATCAGGTGCAGCCCTAGCTGGGGAGCTCTTTCTAAGGAGCTTTTCCTGGAAGGCTCTGGGTCAGTCCAGCCAGCAGGGGGTGACCAAGGGCCATGGGAAGGATGGATGGCTCATCAAGTGAAGAAACCATGTGACCTGATGCTGTTCTGTTACACTTATCATTTATTCCAGAGACAGCCTGAGGACTATCTTTATTTTCAAATCAGGCTAAAGATTCAAATCTAACAGGATAATTTAAAAAACAATTTTGATGTTTTTTATTTTAGTAAATACATAGACCCTCAAATTTATATATTACAGTAGGATTACATTATATAGAGCATTTAAAAATTACTGTTTTCACTTGATATAATACTTTTCATATTTTATGGACATTATTTTAAAGTGGCACAATATTCTGCCACAAATGATTGAATTTTTTATTGTTGGAAATTTTTGATCGTATTTCTTTTTATTGGCATTGAGATACATTTTCTCAAAGTTCATAATTATTTATTAGAACTTATTCTAAAAGTAAAATTGCAGATGTTATAGATATAGACATTTCAAAGGTTTTTATCCCTATTTTAGCTTCCATCTAGAAAATTTGACCAATTTCAATTCCCTCTGACAGCGTGTAAGAATCATGTCTCTTGCCACATGGTCAGTAGTAGGCATTACCAGTTACAATCTCTGTTAAGTTAATAAGTGAACAATATTATGTGGCTTGTATTCGTATTTCATCCATCTTTTAATGAATGATCCTTGAGTGTATGATCTGTTCCAGCGATTGTTCTAAGCTTTAGAGGCACAGTTGTGGACACTGTAAACACCTTCTGAAGGGGAGACAGATTAGAAAGAAGTAATGTTAAGGAGATGTAATTCTCTTTCACACCTCACATTTCTATTTACAGAAGGAAACCTCTATGCCCCTGGATAAAATTGATTTAGAGTAAACCTGCCTCTCTCTGTCCCCTAATTTATATGACTTGTGAAACTGGAAAGAGACACTGAGGATGACTTTCTCTGTTCTCTGTTTCGACCACATGCATCTCTATAAGCTTGGGCTTCAGGAGCATGTTCGAGTCCATTTGCAAGTAGGGAAGGAGTGTCAGCTAATTGTTATCATTTTAATCTGGAGGGAAATTTTGTTGAAAATATAAACCAGGCTTTTCACAGACCTTATTTAATAAAATATTTTTTTGAATTTTATTTGATTCTTATACGTGTTATTCAACTTATTTTTTCTGGACTTGGAGTGGGGAGAGGGTATGAATCACTACCACCCTGTAAGACCAGGAGTAAACAAGTAAAGATAATTGCTGAGCATGACAAGAACAACGAAGGAAATAATCTAGGCAAAATAATGGACAGTTAGTCGATTTGAGGGGGTTTCCTTTAGATGGAATGGTTGGAAAAGGTCTCTCTTAAGAGAAGACATGTGAGTGGAACCTAAATAATGAAGGCCACAACCCTGCCTAGAGCCAAAGGAGGATCATTCTCTCTACAGGGGACAGTCATGGAAAAGTAGAGCAAAGTCTCTGAACATGAAGCACTTGGTGAGTTCTGGGAAGAGAAAGAAAGAAACACAATGTGCCTGAACCATAGTGAGCAAGAGGTTGTACTTATTCTTTGTAACCTTGTTTATATTTTTAACAATCTGAAATTGACATAAAGATTCATAAGTTTAGCTGATAAATATACTTTTGACTTTATATTATTTACTGTTAGATTCATGCAAGCAGAATACAGTTAAAAGATATATACAGAACTTCCAATGAACAGATACTTGAAATAGAAAACTGTCCAATTTTCTGCACAATATAATTTTAATGCCAGAATGGTATTGGTCAATTTTGGACATAGCAAATGTTCTGTTAATGTCCCAGTGAATTAAGCTGAAAAGGAGAAGCCTTTTATCCCTAAGACCTCCAGGGACATGGATATTCTGCATATTTTTAGACCCTCCTGGCTCCCATCTCCAGTGTTCACCACTCGGGACCAGTGAGCTAGGTAGCAAAGATTTGGATGCTTCCAGAGTTAAAAAAAATCTAACCATTATCAAATCAATACAATTTTTTGGTTAATCTAAATTCATAATCAAGCCATTCTGGGTTTATAGTTTTATTTGTGATTTTTTTAAACTAAAGAATTTCTGGAAAAAACTCCCAGCAGCCTAGAATAAACTATTTCTAAAGAGCAGAAATAAAGAAGGAACAAATAGAATTCTTAGTGAAAGTAAAATTTAATCAAATGTGAACTACATCTAAACTACATAAGACTCCACCTATCAATTGTGCATTTAGCAGTTTTGTACAACAGGCCATAAGGAGAAAAATCTATAAGGGTGGCTGCCTACATGCAGAAATTGTCAATCAGTTCATTTGTGAAGTTAAGAAAGGTAAACAAATATATATCAAATAGGAGGAAAATCGTTTTTTTCACTTTTATTAATTGGTATACTTTTGTATTTTGGATTGTACAGTTCACGTAGTCAGATTTTTTTTCTTTTAGAAAAAGGCTGTGGCAGATTTATTAAAGAATTGGATACCTGAAATTAAGATTTATTTAATTTTCCACTACAGTTACACATTACAGAACAATCTTCAGTGGATGGAATAAGGGAAAAAACTTCATGAGTACATGTTTCTGTTCTTAAAGAGTAAAGCAAATTTAGCAGTGACTAAAAAATATATATTCTCTCTGAATAAGACTGAAAGCAACAGGAGTACCAATGTTGGCCACAGCACTATTCCAGTCTTGATTCTGAGCAGTGAACATGACGCATTTGGGTCACATATTCCAAGGCTCATTATTGTCATTTGTAAAACGTTTACAGCAGATACTAAAAGGGCTGACGTGAAGAAGAAATGGCATTGCACTGGTACATTAAAAAACTTTATAAATGTTAGCTGTTACTAATAGCATTAGAGAGATTGTAAAACTGTGGGAAGTATTCAAGCATAGGAATTGGAAACCCAGTGCAATCATCATGGTGTTGCAAACACTTCCACATTTACCTTGCTTTCCTTTTTGGCTGTTTTTGAGTTTAAACATAAGACACATTTTGCTTTGATTCCCTAATAGAAATGTACCTATATTTTGATTTTTAAAGTTGAAAAGCAATTTAAAGAAATAGAAGAATCCCTTAAAGTAACTATACTCCCTTAATAAAAAAAAAATACAGGCTGTAAAAGTAAAAGGTCTATTCTACCATTCTTAAATGTCCCAATGATAGAGGATTAACTTTTTGGAAAGAAAAGGGGGCAGATTTAGGGTATTTAGCACTGACACAAAAGGAAAGATGCTACTGAAATTTTTCTCAGAATGGGAGCCCTGGGGCCACCAACAATGGGGTTGTGGGGAGCACTGATTTGTCAAATCTTTGCAATTACTCAGAAATTACTTGCCATCTCCAGCAATTTACTTTGACATTGAGCTTAGTCCTAGGGAGCAGCCTAGCTTTAAAAACTAGCAAGCATGGATTCCAGAACCCTGCAGCCTGGGTTCAGATCCTGGGTCTGCTACATACTAGCTTTATGACTTCTCTGTGCCTCTTCATGCCTCAGTTCCCCCATCTGCAAAATGGAGTGAGTAATAAATTCTGTCTCATAACATAGCTGTGAGGATTAAATGCATTAACTCATGTAAGTTTTTTAGATATGTAATTGGGGATATGAGAACGGTCATTGGTGAGAATGTCTGGATCTAATCATCATAAGGAGACATGTTATATGCCTGTGTCCAGAACAACTGAGAAGACGGTCTTGGTTGGCGACACAATGCTTCTGAGGATGTGCAGGACCAGGCAGTTAGCAGAGGGGCAAGGAGGCTACATCCTTGGGT